ACTTACCCGGCTCGGGGTGCGCTCTGGAGCCCAGGCGGCAGCAGGGAGAGTGTCCGGGCAGGTCCGTGTTGGCGAGGCAGAGGAGAGGAGAGGAAGAGGCTGTTAATGCGGAGGCTGTGCCCCAAGCACCTGGGTAGGGAGGAGAAAGGCACTGCGGGGCAACACAGGAGGAGACGGTGGGACATGAGCTGTGATTTTCCACTTTGCCCATCGCAGCATCGATTCTCTGATGTCTAATAGGTGGTGAGCACAGCGGTCTTCCTCGGGGACAGGGGGAATCTATAGCCACCCACCTACTTTCAAGAAATTCACTCCAGCTTTGGAATCTCTTCCCTGGACGTGGTGATGGGAGGCTGCCAGGATGGGACGAGCCAGCCGGACAGCTAAGACCTCCTGAATCACACCCATCCTATTTCCTTAGGAAGCCATGCTAAAAAGCCCTGCTTGGAAACCCTTTGAGGTTTTTTCACGTGCACAACAAAACAGGTCCACCTCCCTGGGCTCAGCGAAGAGCCTGGCGTTTGCTGCAAACCTCAGCCCTCCATCTGTGCCTCAGTCTTCCCGTCAGCAAAACACCCCGATGTCTGCAGAAGGTGACTTGAGCTCAGAGCAGCTTCTCCTTTGTGCAGCCCTTCAATAGCAACAAACCCCCAGCAAAGCTGGGTGGTGGTATTAATTTGGCCCAGGCCTGCCAGTAGCATTCAGAGCACTGATTTAATGATGATTAAATATTGATGATGTTTGTAAAGCACTTTGTGATGCTGATAGGAGGAGGCACCCATAAGGATGAGGAATTACAGCTATTTACAAGGCACCACACACGCAATAAGACTTTGCTTTCTAAATTCCTTGCCACAGACCCGTGGTTCACACAATTTCTACCAGGAGCTTGCAACAGTATTTTCCCTTAAAGTCTCAGCTTTGGGCATCAGATCTTCACCTGGTGTAAAGCCTGGTGTAAATAGAGAGGGTTTCTCTGCGGCGGGGATCTCGCACCCTCCCAGCAGCCTTGTAGAGTGGGGACCCTCACGCACCGGAAACCCTCAGAGCCGCAGGAAGACCCACGTGTGCACACACGCATGCCCAGAGCCCTGCTGCCCAGCGTGTGGGGTGCACACACAGCTGCCCCCCACACCACCTCATGCCAACACCGCATGGCAGCTGTTCCCATGGTCAGAAATATAGCCAGCCCCCGGGGCTGCAGATATTTAATTAGCTGGATCTGTCATTCGCAGTGCTTGTGGTTCTGCCCAGCCCCAGGAAGCAGCTGCCGGGCATTGGGGAGCCCTGGGAAACAGGCAGAGCAGGCAGCAGGATCCTGCCCAGCGCTGCCCATGCACCTCGGGGACGCCTGTCTAGCACTGACTCAGCCAGCCTTCAAAGGGTTAATCCAGCTGTGCTTCTTCCCCTTACCTCTGTTCTCCCCTTCCTGGGCCACTCTGTCCTCCTTAGCAGCCATCAATGCCCCCGAGAGGGCCAGGAGCCCCGAGGTGCCGCCGACCCCGCTCAGGCTAGAAGGCTGCATGCTGGAGGGGTGGGGTGTCAGCGGGATGGGGGATGCGTGGTGGGAGAGGTGCTGAAGCTGCTGCTGCTGAAAGAGAAAGAGCAAATGGTTCTGGATCCGCGAGGAGACAGCCGCAGTCAGCCATGCCCAGCACCCCCGGCTCCCCGCACGAACCGCGATGCAAAGCGCGATGGGATGAGACGCAATGCCAGGACAAGGAGGGGAGCAGAGCTGCCGAGGCTGCATGGTCCAGGTCACATCACCTGCTCCTTCCACCCAGGGCACCTCGGGCACCTTCCCGCTGCGGCTGTGATCCTGGCACATGACACAAGCCCAAGCGGTGGTTCTGCCCTGCTCTGCTCAGGGCAGTGGGGGCCAGGGAGGATCCTAGAGGCCATTCACTGCCTTCGGCAAACCCCCTCACCACAGGAGACCAGCCCTGGGCTTATCGAAGTAGTAGAGACCCTGGCTTCCCCCATCACTGCGCTGCATGGTCTGAACCCCTGAGCAGGAAAGAGCTTTTCGCTGCAGCCAGGCAGCGACTCACCCCGACGATGCTGTTCAGCTCCCCCATCGTCACCTGCTTGGCCCGCTCCACAGCCTGCAGGACCTGCTGCTGGTGCTGGGAAGGAAGAGCACAGGGAGGTCACACCATGCTCCTGGCCAGAGGGACCACGTGGTCCAGCATCACCCCAGCCACCCCGGGCTGCGCAGCCCCCTCTCTCGTCCCTCCAGCCCAAGTACAGAGGTTTTCACCCCTTAAACCTCCTGCCGTTCAGGCTGGACTCAGGTTGACCTCTTCTTGAGGGCCCCGAGAGGAGCCCGGTGCACATCCCCTGCCTTCCCCCTTACCTCCTGCGTCAGAAAGGGTATAATCTGGGCGCAGATGGCACTCAGCCTCTTGACAATCTCTGCCTGAAAGAGGAAGCAGGTATCACCACGGACGGGAGGGCTCTGAGCCCTGTCCTGTCCCCTCCAGCGGGGAGGGGGGCAGCCGAGCATCCTGCAGACGCACACGGCCTCCACGGAGGAGTGAAACTCTTCCCACCCGCACCCGCTCAGCGTAAATACTCCTGCTGCCTCTGCATCCCTGCTGGGATTTCCCAAGCTGCCGTCAAGGGAGGACTCTGCCCAGGGCTGTGGGACCCTCCCAGACTGTCAGGTCCCCTCAGGCACAAGGAGGGAACCCAACTCCTAAATCCCTCTGTGGATCCAGGCCAAGCCGAGCTCTGAGCTGTCACTACTTTCGCAGCCCAGCTGGCTTTGCTCAGCCCAAACCCATCTCGGCTTTGTGGGCTGCCGCACTCGCAGCCAGCGGGCAGGAAGCCACAGGCGCGGGCAGCGGGCCATCGGCACGCTGCTTGCTCTCTCCCTGAGCATCGCGCTCGAAACCTGGGGGAGAGCAAGGCAGTCACAAAATTCACACAAACGAATTCAGCCCTCTCTGCATCGCACCAGCGAGCCCTGCAAAGCACTGGTGGTGGCACCTGCTCTGCCCTCCCTGCCCCAGCCAGAGCAGGGCTCCTGCTCCCACCCTGTCGCAGCCCAGGGCCAGCCAGCGGCTCTCCCTGCTCCTTCCCGAGGGGGAACAGAGGCACAGAGCACCTCTGTACCTGTTCCCACCCAGCAAGCAGCAACAGGGAAACGCAGAGCACCTGGCACCTCCTCTCCTCAGCCCGCAGTTACAGACAGACCCACAGCCCAGCCGCATCCCCATCGGGTAAGCGGCACTTCCCAAGGGAAGGAGCCGTGGCTTCCAGCCCAGCCTGTCCCGGGGAAAACTTGATCCCCCCCACCCGCTGCAAATCCACCCTGGCACTGGTGTGGGGATTGGCTGCTCTGAAGTGTTTTTCTCATCTCAGGTTTCTGACAATCCCTGACAGCACTGACGAGAGGTCAAACCACGCACAAAGCTGGCAAAGAACAACGGGAACGTTTACCTGCTGCGCCCCAGGAGCACGTCTGCACCCACCAGCACCCCGCTCACCCGCAGGTCCCAGCTGCTGCATCAGCCACCACCTCGATGCCCACACAGACCCTGGGAGCCAGAAACCGCCCCCCTCCTCCGGACCTCTCCTGGCCACGCAGAGCACGGA